CATTTTTGAGCAGTTGTCCTGAACATGGGTATTTCTTTCCTTTGGAATCGGTCGTTGGAGGAACAATATAATTCCACTCTGCACCATCATCATGAGTCATCTTGGTCTTAAGACTTTTCTCTTTCGAGTTGCCTGTGTCTGAAACAACATTTGCTATCATGAGTCCCTCAATGCCTTCAATCCGATCGTAGTCCACATAGCCAACCTCGTTTCTGTTAACCCGATCCAATGATAATACATAATCAGTACCATTCGAATTGGATTTGAGGATGGAGCCGTATTCTTTTCCTCTTTCATTGTTGGTGGTAATGTGTATGAAAACTGCTTGTGAAACGGAATCAAGTACAGTATAAGCTTCTTGAGCGGCCACATGAAAATTGTGAGGGAAGTCTGCATCGGCAAAAGTTTCGCCGTCTACTGTCACTTTAGCCTTCAAAGACTTGGCCTTTTCGTCTATCGAAGCAACAATAACGAACTTTCCCGAGATTGCGTATCCCACTATATTTTCATGAAGAGTCTTACTGTCTTTGAAATTGGTAGTGGATGATACCAACTTCAGAGTACCTGATTTGTTACGAACAGTGCAATAAATCAAGTCCTTATTTTTCACCTTTTCCTCTTCCAAAAATGGAGAAACAAAGTCACAAGTAACAACATTATCAAGTAACTTATCAAAGCTTTGTCCATCATCCTTGGTAATATAAGCGGATATCTCGCAATCAAACAGTTTTCCTCCACAATCACCTCCATACCAAATATACTTGTGAGGGTCCGTTTTATGGAAGGAAATCAGGCGGACCAAGTTAACCAGGTCAGTTGGAGCTCTACGTTTGACAAAGGAATTTCCTCCGTCGTCAGATACGTAAATTGTATCTCCATCAGTAACCAAAATCAACTGGCCAGGAACAAATCCAACATGGTATGCCTTGATTCTATCATTGACTGGAACTTTCTTGAAATGAATTCCTCCATCGTTTGAAATGCAAGCACTGTCGTCATCGGTCAACATGACAACATTTTCACCGGTATAATCCTCCCCTTGCTCAAGATAAGTATACTGCCTCAAGTTTGCGTCAAAGGTGTTGAGTTCGCTATTGATCTCTAGGTCTGTTCCGCCTCCTTCATGGTTATGGCCATGGCCAACGTAGTCACTGCACTTGAAAGTTTGTTTCAGAACAAAATCACTCTCCGATTTTTTGCCCATTTTGCATTTTGTGCCATCAATTTTAACTTTGTTTGCTAAAGACAATTCTTTAGCTTTATTATGGCGACACATATGGCCGATTTTTTTGGCATTCTCAACACACTTGCCGTCGTGGAGTTCGAAACCCTCACCACACTCGAAGTCCAATTCAGTACACTCGCATGGTTCTTCGATCGTTTCCACGTCTTCGTATATCTTGTTAACAAAACATTGAGCATCTTGCTTTCTTCTTTTGAATTTCTCCTTGTGGCCGTAAATGCAAATTGGATCTCCCTTGTCGTTAACCCGGGCGTAAAACTCTTCAAAATCGTTTTTGTTACACACTTTACCTCCAAATGCATCACTAAAGTCCAAAGCATAAACCACCTCAGAAAACTCTGAATCATTCTCGTTTTCTGGAGTGTCATCGTAAATGCCCGTGAGTATGAACTTTGCCGCAGTAGCGTCTGTCATTGAGGAAACAATGAGAGGGTAAATTGGCTTTTCGAGTTTTCCCTTTTCCCAGGTCTTTCCTTGATCAGTCGAATAGTAGTATACATCCGTGCTCATCTTTTCCTTGCCGTAATAAGGTACAGCAAAAATGACGTTTCCTTGATCTCCAAAGGAAAACAGACATGGTGTATCGATAGCACTACTCCAGGTCGCACCACCGTCTCTCGAAATCCAAGTCAGCATTTTGTGAAGGCTCTTATCAAGATGATCACCGGTGCTACCAACGCCCATCATTATTCCGGGAACTGGACCTGTAACGAACTTGCCTGATCCATCTCGCTCGTTGGGAGAGAGTAAATGGAGAGAACAACCATCGTCGACTTTACAGTTGTCGTCCGTAACCTTAAGAGGCAGCCACGACACACCATCATCAAACGACATTTTGGTCTTGATATTGGCGTTTAGACCACCACCCATAAGCATGTCAAGAAGACTGTGCTCCTTCTCATCGCTTTCTTCCTCTGCGCGATTTGCAATCCATACTCCGTCGATTTTCAGAACCTTCTCAACGCTGTTTCCTTGTACTCGATCCAAGATTTTGGAAAATCTCAAGCCAGAAGAGTCAGACTTGTAGACAGTTGATAAAGAAAATTTCTTGAGATGACTGGAATAGTCGAGAACAGACAAAAATAAGGCTGAGGGAGACGATTCCAAAAATGTCATGACACCATAGGCAACGTCAATGTGCACATCGGCTTCATGGAAGTTTTTGCCATCTTTAGAGACTAGCATTGAAACCTTTGAATTTCTGTTGAACTTATCGTTCTGAATCACGGCAATGATAAAGTCGCTTTCGACTTTAATGTCAAGAATCGAGCCAGACCTGCCCTTCTTATGGCTCAACTTGTTCAGTGTTTTGAAGAAATCGTCCGAAGATATTATGGTCGACTCTACGATATTACCAAAAGAGTTAACATCGTTAAGAGAGCATACGAGTGCTTCTTCCTTGCCTTCTTGAAAGTCTTTCGTGGACCTCAAAAACCGGCACACTTCTGCATCAGTTGGCAATTCCTTAGGACTCGATTTGAAGCCATCGGTGGTATAATAATGTTTCCGCTTGCATTTTGCCGATAATGGACCCTTGTGAGGACAACTATAGTAATCAATGAGTGCCAAGTCGGGGTTTTGGGCATGAAAGATAACGTGGGGTTCGCTATCCATATCTGCGGGTTTCTTATTTGAATCCACCAATTGAAATTTTTTCCAGCTTTTTCCGCTATCCTGAGTTACAAACTGGTCTTTACCATCTGTGAACGCAAATCCTCGAGTTTTAACAAACGGATCAATCTCATAGGCAACAATTTTCTTGCCCTTGGTTTCCTCAACCACTTGCCATTTGGCACCATCGTCAAAGGACATGCTAAGCTCGCCGTCTTTGGAGAGTCCAAGAATGTTACTGGAGTCGTCAAAGTACACTACATCGCTGGAAATCCTTTTTCTAGTCAGTATGGAAATCTTGGGGCTGAAATCCTTTTGCTCTGAAAAGCTAACAAGGGCTAAAAATAGCCATATGAAGCTCCACCAACGCATCGTTTTGAATTACGGTAGTTATGTACCCGATGAGATGGAAATGGACGAATGATATGAGCTCTGAATTGGTACGATTTCAACAAAGGTATTGTATAATTGTCACGATAGCTGGCAGGTATCGCCATCCCAACACCAACTATGGCTGTGCTTATGTAACGGGGCAGTGACAAGGGGAGAGTAAGTTTAAGGAGAAGAGAAGGGGAAAGAAAGAAGAAAACGGAAGAAGAGAGACAATTCATAACGGGTATGGCGTGATTCTTCGTGATTGTGTGGATTACACTATTCTTATATAGCATGATATTCATTTTGCAACATTGCCTAAACCTTTCCTTTCCTTCCAACACTTAGCAGCTAGTAAGCCTTAGCGTACAATTAGCATCGATGCTACTATAGTACTGGTCCAAGTTGAAGGTGCAAGCAAAAAGTGACAGTTCAAATTTCTCTCGGTCTTGTCGATCAATTTGCAATACAGCTGACCTTCCATTCTCTTCTGTGATTGCATAAGGGAGACAAGCTCCAGATATGCCATAAAGTTTGGTCAATGACGAATTAATTATGGTTATCCATGTGATTTTATCGATCGACAAATTCTCAATTTCCAGCCTTATTGAGTCGTCTGCCTGTGGATCGACAATTCTGGGTTAGTTTCCTGGGTAGCTATAAGTGAAATCCAATTTCAAACTTACATTTCAAGGCTCAATTCAACTTTATCGGTATCATCTCCCATCAGTAAAGATTATTTGAAGCGATTCTCAATGGGGTGTGCCATCCTAACACCCACACTAAGTGTTGGGGCCGATGAGGATCTCTATTTGCACGCTTGAGCTTTCGTACGACGAGTCGTCGGTTTCTTCATCCACTGCAGGAGTATTTTCGTTGGTGGTTTTGTCGCTGGAAAAATCCGGGCTTTTTGGGCTTATTTCAGGCTCTTGGAATTTTTTGCTTTCGTCGCCGCCTGCAGGCAAGATGACTCGAACTGGAAGAGGTACGGCGTTGTTTGGCACTGACGATACTGGGATCAAAAGATATGATTGGCCGTTGAAGGTCATTATTGGTGTAGACGCTGGGAAGCTCCAGTCTTCATTAGGATCCCAAGGAATACCCGTAGTATATCTTTCGGATCTTTTGCGGTGATTTTTGGTCAGACATTGAGCTATAAAATCAGTAAAATTTTCCCTGAATCTCACTCTACTTTGTACGTTACGTAACTTGAGCAAGGTAGGGATGGAGTAGCGGATTTTTCTTCGTGCCGAAGATGCTTTCGTGATTCTTTTTTTACCCATGCCACAAATAAGAGTTGCAACAATTCGCAGCCAAATTGAAAAAAATAGGTACCGACAACTGCAGGACTCGAACCTGCGCGGGCATAGCCCAAAAGATTTCAAGTCTTTCTCCTTAACCACTCGGACAAGTTGCCTAATCACGTTTTTTTTAAAGCAGAGCCGTTTATCAATCTCTTTGAAAAAATCTGAAAATAAGACTCGAACCCACGCATTAAGTTTTTGGCGCGGAAAAGCCTAAAATCCTGGGGGACTTTCACAAAATTGCGAAAATCGGGTCAGACTCGCTCAAATCGGGTCTCATAACTAGACTCAATGCGACATATGCAGGAAAATCTGCGTTTGTTAAGTTACTATCATACTTCAATTCCACCACCTTTCATTTTTTGGACCTATACTCGAGAGTAATTTTTCTTCCTACATTATCTATGCAATAGAACCATAAGTTCAATAGAATCTTGTCCCTTTCTAGCATTTTCATACCTATAATGGCCGATACAGAATGGGAAGAGCTCACTGATGAGCAAGGAAACACATACTACTACAATTCTGTGACCCAAGAAACCACCTGGACGAAGCCTGGATCCATTGGAGACTGGCTGGTCTACACCACAGACGATGGACGCGAGTACTACTATAATGAAAAGACCCAGGAAACCACTTGGGAAAAACCAGATGGGCTCGTTGTCAATGAAGATATAAAGCTAGATGAAGAAGGAGCTGAGGAGACTCTAAACGACCTCGATCGTGAATTGCAACAGAAACCAATCCAGCCGTCACCGATTCAACAAAAAATAGCAGAAGTGCAGCCAAATAGTCGAGATAATTTTATTCAGTTGTTGAGTGATAATTCTGTCGATTCCACCTGGTCGTTTCAAAAAGTCATGTCCAGGTTTATCAAGGAACCAGCATACTGGGCTGTGGAAGACTCTCTCGAAAGAAAAAAGATTTACGATGAGTTCTTAGACTCGAGGCTCAGAAACGACATCTCCAATAAAGAAGCAGTAGTACAAAAGTTCAAAACAGATTTTGTTGCATTATTGGAATCTTACAGAAACGACGACAAAATCAATACAAACACGCGCTGGATCTCCATTAAGCGAAAATTAATAGATGAAGAAAACCCCATCTTCACCCACACGGTGCTTTCCGATGCTGAAATTTCTAATATTTACTACGAATTTATCAATGAAACTCGCCACGCTGAGCAAGAAGAGGTACAAAAGAAGAAGAAACAAGCGCTAGACGAACTAGAGTCCTATTTGACCAAGGTAAATACCAATCTTGTCACCTCAAGCAAAGACTGGAACCAATTGTACGACCGTCTTCAAAACGACTCCAGATTTCAAGCCAACAAGCATTTCAAAGATTTGGACAAACTCGATATCCTTGACCTTTACATGTCCAAGATATTTCCTATTACTGTGCAGAAGCTCCGTGACGAGCTTCAAACCGTGGAAAAGGCTAACCATCGCCAGGATCGAAAGGCACGTTCAAATTTCAAAAAGTTTTTGAGCCTGCTCAAGATCACAGCCTCAACTCTATTCAAGGACATGGTACCTATTTTTGAGGAGAATGACGCATATATAGAGCTTTGTGGTCGAAAGGGATCACTGCCATTGGAGCTTTTCTGGGATGTGGTCGATGAGGCATACCAGGCAATTAAATTCCGAAAAGATTTAGTGGAAGGCTACTTTCTCGATATGAGACGTCATGATCCGGTCACCTATGATTATCAGAACCTTCTTCAGTCATTTGGTCACTTTACTGAAGTCATACGCAACTCTAATGACGACCGATTATCTACCATCAAGCTGCTTCCACAAGAAGAATTGCAAACCGTTTATTCCGCAATTAAACAAGACCACGAAAAATTACAAGAAAGCTTGAAAAAGGCCAACGAAGAGAAGATTCTAGTGCAAGCTGGCGTTTTGGCTAGATGGTTGAGCGAGCATTACACTCAACTTGATTATATCAATGTCAGCGACGAAGAAAATGAAGCAGCAATCAGAATCAGTTCCAAACTAAACCTCATCAGCGCTGATTACGAAGCACTCAAGGGCCAATTGTCGTCTGTGGAAGAGTTTGAAATACTACAACAGTTATGTCAGAGCTCAGAAGACACTCAACAATCATTATCAGTTGCGCTAGAAAAAGCTGTAACGGAACTCATCAAACTTCTTCAAGAAAAGTCATTTTTCAAAGAAACCACATCACGAAAACGTGAAAATTCCAACACGCATGATCTGGAACCAAAACGTCCTAAACCCACTCCCAAAGTTAATCCAGTCGTTATCAACTACTGACCCCATTACTCCTATATAGTTCCTGTATACAGCGTCTAGTTATGAAGCTCCAAATCTCACCAACTCCAACAAGGATGGTAAGTACCAGCTGGTTCCAATCGACGAATACGCAAGCTAACGCAGTCGCAATCATTGAAGCCATATCTCACAGCTGTGCGCTCCTCGCTCACGGCAGCAATGTGTTTGGAAGACTTTTCCTCGCAATTGGTTGAAAGACATAATCGGCCCGAAATCGAGGTTGATAACACCCACAATCCGGAATTGGTGTTAAATCCAATGGTGATAGCCAGAAACGAGAACGAGAAGATTCTCATCGAACCATCGGTCAATTCGGTTAGAGTTTCTATTAAAATAAAGCAAGCTGATGAAATCGAACAAATCTTGGTACACCAGTTTACCAGATTTTTGACGTCAAGAGCAGAGAATTTTTTCATATTACGGAGAGTTCCCATTGCGGGCTACGATATCTCGTTCTTGATCACCAACTTCCACACAGAACAGATGTTGAAGGACAAATTGGTGGACTTCATTATAGAGTTCATGGAGGAGGTGGACAAGGAAATCAGTGAAATGAAGTTGTTTTTGAACGCTCGAGCCCGTGTGATCGCCGAGGCTTACTTGACTCCCTTCGACTAGGTTTTAACGTCTACAATAAAAGTATATTATGTAACAGTCGTTGTCTCGTTTGTAGATTAGCCAACTTCGCTCCCTTCTCTGGTCTCTATGTGATTCAGAAGACCCGAAGGAGTGTATTGTGTTTCTGGGGACTTGATTATATTTTCCTGCTTCGGTCCTCGGTAATTTGTTTTGATGGGGGAATGGCCCCCAGAGCCATCTGAGTTGATCCTGGTAGCAGATTTAGTAAAGTCTTTGGGTGAAAGGCTCTGCGAAGATTGAGGCGAGTTAACCACATACAGCCCACCACGAGAGGCAGACTCTTGACTCTGGTTCATTGGATATGGTTGAGAATTACCCTGAGAAAAAGATGACAACGACTCGGAATCCGTATTGACGTTACTATTGTTGAACGACGGTTGCTTATCACCCACAATAGGTACCACCATTGGAAGATCGGCATTGTCGGTCAATAAACCTGGAACATGTTGCAAAACCAAATCCAAGTGCTGAAGAGCATCTGATGCCTGCTCAAAACTCTTTGATGAGATCTTCAAAATCCATCGATAATTGAAAATCAGGTCGCGATAGAAGTCTGCCTCTTCTTGCCCCGAGCTAGACATGAAAAGTAAGGCTGCAAATATTCCGATTAATGTCAAGCTCAGTGCCGATGAAGAGTGCCAAAACGAATGTATATGCTCTGGTTTTAAGTCTCTGACAAACTCGATCGATGCCATCAACCTAGTACGAGCGGCAGTTCGACAAACTTGTACCAACTCAGGCGATGCAGGGTTTCCTTCGGATTCTTGCTGGTAAATTATGGTGAGAATTTTCCTATGCAACGTCAATTCTGCGGCAAAGTAGGCAAGCTGCAAATATCCATTGGACGAAAGTTTCCTTGGTTGTACAGTGTTCATTTGAAGTTCATTAGGTAGTGAATGGTACCAGTTTCGAAGTTGAAGTTGAAGTGGCTTGGCTCTCAGAAGCACCTGGGTGACTTCTTTTATCTCTTGCATGGCAGTCATACAGTAAAATTCATCAAGAATTTGAGAAAGAATCTGCGAGAGGTTTATGAGGGACATGAAGATCTTTTTCCCGTTATCGATATCGGAGGAGCCTTCTTTCAAGTCTCCATCGCCATGTTTTTCTGGAAAATCCTCTTCGATCAAAGGAACCACTACCCAATTATGGGGATGGATATGCGACGGCCGTGAGTGTTTCAATGAAAGCCATTTATCTTCCATGTATACGGCCCATGCCAACCGCTTCCGAAGACCTCTCTCCCACTTTGGCAACTTCCAGTTATTACAGTTGAGCCCAAGACCCAACTCCTCAGCTATAGCTACCACCTGACAGCAAAGTACCCACTCATTGCAGCCGGTATCGCCGATGGTGCCAAACGCTTTATTGGGCTCTTCGCCGGGTCTCAGCACAACATGGCGGCATTGTAGAAGCAAAAGACCCGCCTGGACCGCACTCAACTTCGGACGCTTCAAGATCTCAAAGAGATAGTTACTCATTCCAATTTTCAAGATGGTGTCGGTGCTTGGCTTAGGGAACAGATTAAGCAGAGGGTCATAGTCCCACCACTGGATTGCGAGAACATAAACGGCCGCTAGGAGCGGAGCACTGAACTCTCGATGGGTTCGTGAGTATTTTTCCAAGAACACTTTTTTGTGGAGAATGGGGTACGAAGGATGAATAATCCGGAAATAGAGGTCTATCAAGATCTGCCCATGGGGTGCAACAAACTTTTCTATTGTGTCGACATCGTTTGACATTGTTTGGTACGATTGGGGAGACTGGTCATCACGAAGAACAAATTGGGCCTTTTCGCTCACTTTTCGAAGCGACATAGTGTCGCTCAAGTTAATTTGTTCCACTTTGGCGGATTTGGAATTGTCCTTGTTTTGCGACCCAATGATAAGATTGAGGAGATTAGTATCGAACATGAACGATGTAGGTCCCACGTAGAAACTCGAGCGAGGAAATTGTAACGAGAGGGTTTTCTTCAAGAGAGAATTATTGATGCGAGAGTAGTCGTGGACGGGAGCGGTTTCACGGATTGGAACGTTGGGAGGGACGATTTCTGCCAGTCCACCGGAGTGTGGAGATACCACCGACAGTTTGTTCTTTCTCGAACGTTTACGGGCTTCTTCTTCTTCGTTTAGTTTCCTTTTGGGTGCCAGTCCGATAAACGTACATGGGATGGACTTGGCTTCACATTGCACGCAAACAGAAGTATTGGGCACGATGACACACTTTGTTTTCTTCTTGCGGCAGTGGTCACACGGACGTCGAGGGCGGGTTATGTGGCTGTTATCATGAAGGTTGGTGTTTAAATGTGTGGAGATTGTTGGGTTTTGTGTGTTGTGTGGGTTGTGTGGGTTTTGGTTATACGTTTCGTTTCGTGGGTCTCCGGTTTCCGTATAATTGACGTTGTACATGTCGTTGGGACCCATAAACATGGTCTGTGCCCATGTAGAGTCGATGTATGACGGAGGTGTGTTGACAAAGTTTTCGTCATTTTCAAGAAGAGTATCGTTCTGGATGGTATTTATATGTTCGTGGTCATGATTCCCGAGTCGGGGATCGAGAGAGGGCTCCATTTCACTTTTGTGGAAGCGTTCTCCGAGTTTTTTATCGCCGTTCATATCGTAACTCCTTGATGTTTTATCTCATCGATGGGGAAAGATGGTGATTTGCAAGTTGTAGGAGATACTGTGGGATGTATACAGTGTGTGGATACTCCAAGGTGGGCCAGAATACAATTATAGTGGAGCAAACGGTGATATCTGACTACGTCGGTACTGGATGTGAGGAGTGCGATAAATTGTGCCGCTTGTCGATTTCCGCACCCATCGCACCGGGGAAAGTTGTAGATACTATATAGTCGAGATTCCGCCGAAACGAAAGATAAAGTTGCAATATGATTACGGCGACCATGACACGATGACGCTCGCGCTGAAGGTACGCCGAATGGACGAAAACATGAAGGCAAAGGCACCAAAAATTGTTGGCGATGACCTTGCTGATATTGATGAACCAGCCGATAAGGCTCACCTTATTCTTTCTTTCTTTGACACTCTCGATCTCATAGACCAATTCGAGGACCTGGATGATCCCATAAAGCTGTTGCACATGTTTCGGCTTTTTCTTTATTCGGTGTATCATGGACAGCATACCAACTATACCAAAAACTCTCGCCAGTTTTTTGCGCTTTTCAAAAAACTTTCCAATATTCAAGAACAAAACCATAACTTTGAGTCCAAGTTCGTGGGCGAAAACAACATGGAGCCAGAACAAGCGGTGAACTCGACTCGCAAAGTGACTCTGTTTCCAATTCCATCAATCGTGCGAAAGCGGCTCGGGTTGGAGTAAGACAAGCCAGGCGAGAGTTGAAGATTAGTCTGACAATTATCGATACCATTAGCATCGAAACGAAGAGATCAAAGTCAGATGCTCTTTTTGATGAGCTATTGCTTCTTGATCAGCTTTCTTAAGTGTCTTCGAGTAGAAGCCGCTGCTTCAAATTGTTCCAGAATCCCGAATCGTACACATTTACCAAGTCTCGTTCCATGGATGTCACTGGTTGTCGTGATACCTTGTCTGAATCTTTGAACAAGATCTTTGCATCGTCGAGACTGATATAGACGGTTTCATAGGCATCATTCGAAAGAACCACCGCTTGTTCCACATACGGCTGGTCAAAGTTTTCGCATTTATAAAGAGCCCCCAAACCTATTAAATGCTCGATTTCGGCCCATTTCTCGTATTCGTTAGTGGTGACTCCAAGGTAGATGTATCGGATATGAAGCGCCGTGAATGCACTGGTAATGATGGTGAATATTGTGCAAAGAATTGCAAAAATTCCGGTGATTTTCATATCCTCCGAAGACTTTATAAGCTTCCAGTATCCTTGGTGGGCCTGTTTGTGTGCTTGGAGAGTCCAAATGTTGACGAATCCACCGTAAATGAGAAAGTTGATGTTAGCGATGAGGTACCCCACAAACCACCGGTAATTGTAATAACCGATGCAATTGTTGACCCAGATGCAATGATGGTCAAATAGCATGATGCAGTGACCACACACAGAGCAATGCTTTGATCTGGCTGGTTTTTCGAGCAAACAAGTGGAACAAGTTCGACCATCGAAAAAGATGAGTTGGTTGTTGGGGAACTTTTTGGCCTTGGAAACCGACTGGGTGGTAATTATACCTGGGTCGGAGAACGTGGCTAGGTATGTGAAGACATAGATCAGTATAATGGATGCTCCAATGAAAAAATTGTGGAAGTAGCTGTTGGCAAATGGCAGTATTGGGTAGGTAGATTTGAAAAAATGAAAAATGCAAAATGTCACCACGACTATATAAAACGAAGGCACGAGCCAGCCCAAGTACTTTTCTAGTCGCCCATTGAAATACTGGTTATTTACTTGGTGGAAACCATGGCTCAAACTATGCCATGTGTGGAAAATATACGTTTTGGAACGGTGGACCAAAGTGCCTCGAAACAGAGGAGAGTCGCCAAAAATCGCTATGGTGACAAGAAGAGCCACCACTACAATCACCCCGACTGTGAGCCACATAGAACCAAAAATTGGGCGTATAGATTTAGTTGATTAGGTGGTAGGTGGTTAAGTTGGTTGGTCCTCTATATAATGCGCGCAGCTAAAAACTGGTTGTGAAATTCGGTTATCTTCATACCAGAATGAACGCCGATATTGCAAGGGAAATCAATGCCATAAACCACATACTCGCTACCGTACCGTTCAGAAACACCTCGGCTCCACTCCCCTACTTTCTAGACACTTACAAGTTGCAATACGAGGATATGGTGCCCATTAATGACGCCAACAAGTTTCCTATTGAGCCGAACAAACTTCTCAAACTTGGAATCTCGCTTGGAAATCTCATCAAGACGCTCAAGTTAGACGAGGAAATGCACCAGGAACAACAGCAGCGCCAAAGTCTGTTTATTGCTAGTCTTAACAATTCGGTGTCTCGACATCCCAGCGTGAACCATTCGCTGGCTTCCATCAAAAGTCCTGTTTCTGGCTACTATGACCCCTACGACCCGTTCCATGGTGAGCGCCCGTCTTCAACCGTCACCAATAGCGCTAATAATCAGTCTCTCCAACATGTCAAATTTGTTAAAAACTTACTTTTATTGCTCAAAAACTTTGATATCGGCACCACCACCTCGGCAGGAACCAAGCTACACGAGCTCTCGAGCAAGGCATCTAATCTGAGTCTCAGCAAGAACTCTTCACCCATCAAACTCAACTCACGTCAACTCTTGATCGAAAAGTTGGAGATCAATATATCTCTAGACGTGCTATTTATTTACAAAATCACCATGCAATTGGTGCTTTCTATCTACGTTACCCTCCAGTCGCATATAGCAGGTGCCGACTTGAGTTCTTCCACCGACGACAAAAGCAGTATCATGGAGAGCTCGTCTATTTTTTCGAGCAACTCGCTCAATTCGTCCAACGACTCGATTTTGTCTGCCGACGAATACGTCAGAATCCTCCACAATATCCTAGCAAGAATTTCAACCGGTTTAATCGAACCGTTCTTACAGCTCATGTTGCTGGAAGTGGTCAAGCCCGGCCTCCATCAGGGCTTCCAAACCCTCGTGGACAGGCTTTCTTAACACCACTATCCATGTATTCAAATCCTGGTAACATGCTCTCTTAACGGTGGCTATCCATGTATCCACTGGGCCACTTGGCGCCAAATTCCGTGGGCGAATCGTCGGCCCAAAATCTTGCCAAAAAGCGGAAATATAACCAAACTCAAAAGCGCATTGATTTGCTTCAAGCTTTCTTCCCAGTGTTCTTGGGCAGTGAGTTCGTCCGAGTACGCGCTGTAGTCGGATTCCATATCGGACTCATAGTCGGTAGATTCCTCCATTGGTAAAATGGTGCTTTTGATCGCACTCATGAATATGTGAGATTGGGTGTGTGGGTGTGTTTTCCAGGAAAAATAGCCCATCTCATCGAACTTGTATGCTCGTTCGGCATCGAATCTGGGGAACTTTCACACGATTTTTGCACACCAGAACCATGCTTGTAGATGGAGCCGAGTACGTAACTGTCCAGGAGGGCAAGGCGGTCATCCTTGTGCCCGAAGAAGAGAAGGTATTCTATAATCCTATTCAACAATTCAATCGAGATTTGTCGGTGATGGCCATCAAAGCCTGGAGTCAATTGTACTCGGAGAGCAAGATCGGCCAACGAGAACACAAAAAGAGAAAGTTGGACAACCCAGAGGCAAATGAGGGCAAAGAAAAGCCATTTGTTAATATTCTCGAGGCACTCTCAGCCACTGGTTTAAGAGCCCTTCGATATGGCCATGAGATACCGAATGTTCAACGAGTTGTGGCCAACGATATGCTCTCACATGCCGTAGAGGCAATAACCCGCAACACCAAGCATAACGATTTGAGTCGGATTGTGAAACCCAATCTTGGCGATGCCATCAAGTACATGGCTGGTACCAGTGACAAATTTCATGTCATTGATCTCGATCCTTATGGCACTGCTGCTCCATTTATTGACAGCGCCTTGCAATGTGTGGTGGACGAAGGGCTTTTGCTTGTTACTTGTACCGATGCGGGAGTGTTGGCTGGTTCAGGGTACCCGGAGAAATGCTTTGCTCTCTATGGTGGTAATAATTTTGGTAACACTTTTTTGAGTAGCGAGGCCAATCATGAAGCAGGACTTAGATTGATGCTCCATATGATCGCCACCACTGCCGCAAAGTATAAGAAGACCATAGAGCCACTCCTTTGTCTTTCAATTGACTTTTACTTTCGCATTTTCATCAAGGTGAGAACCAGTCCCATCGAGGTCAAACGTTTGGCTTCACGAACCATGCTCACGTACCACTGTGGTGGGTGTGGACACAAGGTCAACCAGCCGTTGGGACGGGTGGTGGAAAATAAAAAATTTCAGATTCCTCGAGCGGTTACTCCAGGCTCAAATTGCACTTACTGTGAGTCTCATTACAATATTGCGGGGCCTATGTGGTATGGACAATTGCACAACCACGAGTTTATTGACCGAGTACTCACCATTAATAGTGAACTGGACCCCGAAGTATATGGCACAACACAGCGAATCAAAGGTATGTTGACGTTGGCCAAAAACGAGTTATTGGATGAACCTTTCTACATCAATCTCAACCAAATCTGCTCATTTTTCAAATCTCCTCCCATTCCCATTCAAGATTTTTGCAGAGCAGTTGGCAATTACGGTTACAATGTCTCATTGACTCACGCCAAGAAAAATTGTGTCAAAACCAACGCCCCATGGGAAGTTGTTCTCGACATCAATCGCCAATGGCTAATCAGAAGCAATAAGAAAAGTTTACAAGAAATCGAAGAGAAATTAAAACTGGATCCAGAAAATGAAAAGCTCGTTGCCAAGCACCAAAAGCTTAAACAGTATATAGTTCTGAGCCCCAACTTGACCGAAGGAATGGTGGGATTCAAGCTTCTCAAGAATTTGGCACCCAGCGACAAGACAGTGGATTTTGAAACCGACAACGACGTTAGTGTGCGAGTTCACGACTTGCGTAAGCTCAAGATGGTTCGGTATCAGGAAAACCCCACGAAAAATTGGGGGCCAAAAGCCAAGCCTAAATAGCTAAAAATAACTCTTTCAAACCATAATCATGTGCGAAGTTGAAAAAAACTTTTTCAAAAATTGCGCCACGGCAACAATAGCGTTGCAGTTGCCTAACAATAGAATTTACAATGTCTACACGGGTTTGCCGAAATCGTTTGAAATATTGTATTAGTACACCATAGGCACTGCCTAATCCGAGAACTAGTAGTCAAACTAATCTCTATTATTCTATTAACCGGAGAGTTACCATCTCAAAATGTAAAACACTAGGGGCAAACTCCTTAGAACAACAAGGCGACACCAGCAGCAGCGGCAGCTCCGACCAATCCAGCACCGACAGCTTGGGAAGCACCGGAACCGGAAGAAGAGGAGTGAGAACCGTTAGAGCCAGTTCCGTTACCAGCAGCACCGGTACCGTTACCGGCAGCAGCACCAGTAGCGTTCTTAGCAGACACAGCGGCGACAGCAGTCAAAGCGAGGATAACAGTTTGGAATTGCATTATGTGATAAGTGTGTGAGAATAAAAATTTGAAATGGAACGAAATCGTGCTCCTTTTATACGCCACCCTGAGTCACGAACGCCAAATGGATTTCGCGCCGAACAGAGCAAAAAATGTGCAGCCGAAAGAAAAAAAAAGAAAAAAAACTGTGGAAGCAGTAACGAATGCGGAAATTTTTGACGCGATTTGGTGTCCCGGCTAGGGCATTCCGGCATCTAGCCTGCCCAGGGGGTCGGGCGCGGGTCGTGCCACCCAAACACCACCCGCCTTAGGCGGCCCCAACACAGCCCCTTCGGCAACTTGCAGGTGCCTCCTGCAGGGCAATATAACCGCAATAGGACATGGTCTTATTAACGTGTTTTTCCACTGGTGAAAACAGAACGCGCAATTACTATTATTAGCCATATACTGCCCACGAGGGTCTGATAAAACGTGGGGGATATTGTCACGAATCTCGGAGCCAGCCGTTTCATTGCCACGAAAGTATGTGATTTTTTTCGCGATAACACCGGTCGCCATTTTTGGCGTGCTACATTTTTCATTTTCAGCCCCCTCAGCCAACTTTTGCACTATTTTTGCACTACTACTTTCATATGAGTGTTTTCTCGTTACAGCGCGCACAATAATTTTCAGACGAGAATCTGAATTTTACGAAGCTATGGTAAACGTTCATGACTTTCTACTAAATTGTTGAATGTCGTAGTCTCGTATCTCGAGGATAGTAGATTTCACTGACAAGAATAAGGACTAGAAATGGTGAGCTTCAAATGAGATGAGGGCTGTTCTCTGGCACTGCTTTCCTGCGTAAACTCTAGTCCACTAGTCATCTTCCCTTATTGTAGAAGATTTTTCGCCAATAGCCTGCATTGCGATGACAATGCCAGAAGCTGAACGGCCCAACCAGTCTTTGCTGAACAAAGGGAGTCATTAGCACATTGAGTAAATAACCTCTCCGATGAACATCAAACCACTAAAATTCTAATCTCTAGCGTTTAAGGGTTATAGTAGTGGCCGCCTCCTAGTACCACATTTGAGCTTTATTCTTTCGAGACTCTCAACATCTCGTCCCTAAATGGACCCTTTCTATTGTTTGCCAAATTATCTGGTACATTTTGATATTGAGTTCTAGACGACAACATTGGATAAGATCTTGGCATTGGGAATGGCTCATTGTAGTATTGTTTCAAATGCTTGACGGTTGGACTACTGGCACGGATGTCTATATGGTTCTGACCGTACCATATGTCAAACATAGCTTTTGTCTTGTACTTATTGTCATTATTTCAAGAAATTCTTCATCTTTAAAGATTTGAGAATTTACCGGACCCAAACCTTAAAGCTCTGACACTTCGGACCACCAAATAAGTTTACATTTCAAATTGCATGAGTGGCCAAGAAATTTTCTTGCTTCTAGGGCTACTCATTTGTACTCATTTGATTTTGGTGTACATTACCAAATCTTGGGATTTCACGATAGGTGTAATTTTCATCTCATTTGCGAGGACCTTGGGTGGTTATAAACATAGTAGTAGCATCATTTCTCAGTCATAACCTGAAACTGCATCACACTGAAGACGTCCTACAACGAATTTCTTGAAATATAAGTGCTCCATAAGTGATATTCTATTGGCTGCAAAAAGGTAATTAGCGAAGGAATTCTGCATAGAAGGATCTTCCTCGAACTTAGAGCAGGTAAAGCACCCCTTAACTTATCGTAGAATCCTTTCAGCTAGATCAGCTAACTCATAGCCATATTTCACATTAAAGATTGCAAGCACTTCCGAGTACAGTGCCCTCACAAGATTGTTGCAAGCAGGAGAATACATCAGTACACCAGGGCTATAAAGTGGCTGCAAAATCGCATGGCAATTTTTTCTTTATCTCTAAGAGGTCCAGTTCGCTCGAGTACATTTCTTGCGCAGTCACCTGCTCAATAAAGGTATTAGGAGTGAACAACTTACATTGCTAAAGACGAAAACTATTATGATCAATGGCCAGACAACTTTGCTATTTTATTATGAAGCTAACTGAAATTTATTCTGTTTGCGACAAACAGTACGAATGAACGACATACATTATTAAAGATAAACATATTCAAAATACGCGCTAACCACAAGCTAATGAGAGCAAATGTTCGATAATCACAACTTAGCGAGGAAATTGAACCGTGATCTACTCATTTCATGTCATTTCTTACATCCCGGTAATGAAGTTATCAAATTCATGCATTATTTGAAAAACTAACAGACATTTAAAATTAATAGATAGAGCTAATAGAATTGTTGCTTAAAAACCTGTAATATCTCTGTGTTTGTACCAAATATAATTGTGTTCGTGGCATGTTCCACACGTACGTTACACCAATGGCTCCGTAACATTTGTGGACAGGTGTTCGCTGTTCGTTGGATTGCCTGCTCGGTGAATTCTACTTGCAAATAATATATCTCAACTGTTCTGATTATCTGCCCTTTTTTTATGTTCATTACTATTAGTCTAATTGTTATCAACATATTGCTTAACGCAATCATAGACCGAGGTTTCCAAGTCAATGAACTTGTCACCAATGATCTTTCTACTAGCGGAACTGTCAAGCACATATGGCAACTTGACCTTTTCGGAAGAGCCCTTAACGACGTTGAGTTGTGGGAATTTCTTGTTGATGATGTCAAGAATCTTACGGAAGTTGAACTCTTCGGAATTAACCAACAATCTTTGACCAGCAGCATCTGGAGATTCAAAGGCTGCAATATGAGCTCTAGCCACATCACGTACATCGGCAAAATAACCATCAGTTTCGGGAAGTGGGTCTTCCGGCTTCAAGCGCAACAGTGAAAGAAGAATTTCGCTGGTGAGGTTCATACCGCCTTTCACCGACGAGTCAAAAGCTTGGGGACCGAATACGAATACGGGGTTAACGGTGGTCAATGTCCAGCTTGGTTTGTTTGTTTCAACGAACTCCCAAGCAGCCTTCTCAGCAAAAGTCTTGGAAGCAACGTAAGCTGTAAGCCCGTTTTGTAAACCTTCATCCCAGGTGATGTCGTTCCATTCCTTCTCGTTAATGGTGCCTGTAGGGCCCCTCGTCACCTTGGCGATTGAGACAATAGAAGATGTAACTACTACCTTCTTGACATTTTTACCATGAGCCTTGATTGACTTCAATACATTTTTGGTACCATCAATTGCTGGCAACAAGAGATCATTTTTCAAGTCTTCGGTAGCAAACGTAGCTGGGGAAGCAGTATGTAAGAATACCTCAACTTCTGGGTGATTTTCAAGCGCTTTGTCAAATGCTCCTTCCTTAGAAAGCGATTCGATAATTTCGTAAGACAAGTTTGAACTTTTAAAGTTTTTGATAAGGTCCTCTCCCTTTTGCTGAGATCTAACAGATCCAATCACCTTGTAGTTCTTTTCAAGCAATTGCTTGATAATGTGTTGAGCAATAAAGCCATTGGCGCCGGAAACAAAAACTGTGGTAGACATGATTAATCTTCTCGTTCCATCACCCTCCTTTTATACTTTTGAAATGAAAACGGAGCCGCATATATGTTGGGTGGGTGAAATTTTGCTGCGAACATTTGACGGAAATAAAACGGTGTCACGGAGATCATTTTGACAGCACGGAGATTGCGCGGGCCGAACTCCCGGCGCTATTATTAGTACGCGGAGCTCAACAAAAAACTCAATACGACTAATCAAGCTGATGTGTTCTTTGCGGCTATTCGAAGGAAGTGACAAATTTCTAGGCGATTGTAGGCATAAGTGTTTCTGACATCAAATATAACCGCGCCAAATTGCAAAGTTTCTTAAATTAAGGCGCCCATAAAGTTGCTGTTTATGGATAATGGTTGCACCTCATCATACAAGCTTCCATGAAATGGCCCCATGGCTATGCCACGAGCATATTTGCTGCACGTAAATAGTGTAAAACCAAAAAAATTCTCGCTCTTAAAGTGTCATCGAGGTCAGCTTTGCACTTCTGTCGATATTCATCAAAAAGATGAATCATATTATAGCTTCATGTTGACAATTCTTGAAGATTCATCTCAAGTACGTCTTGTTTTTGCATCCATTTTATCTCTCACTGAAAACAAGTGTAGTTTGTTGTCGTATGAATCAGCAACTTAGACGTTTAATTTTACAGAATACAAGCACAATGTATCGATCATGAAATCAGATCTGAGATACAAAACAACGCGCCCGTATTTAACGCAAATGTTTGTTTCGCTTTTCGTGTGCAGTCCTCATGACATTTGCACCTCGACTATTGCAATGTAGTGCTGATACTTTGGCACAACTATCCATACTATGCGGACTTCCTGTGCAGTCCACGAAGGCGGCAAGAACCCAGTCATTGCTTGACGGGTTGAAAATAGGTGCCAAATTGCCCACAAATATGCGAGTATTGGCTGTTGATATGGGTATCAAGAATTTCTCCTATTGTCAAACTGTCGCCAAATCGAAACCCACGATTGAAAAATGGACAAAAGTCGACTTGAATAATGAATACGGAGCCACGTTCAAGGCATTGACAAGCGATCCTGGCTCGTTGATCGATTCGAGACGCTACCTTAGTCATTTGGCATACAACATTGTTTCCACCATAATCAAGGATAAACCCCATTTGATCATGGTGGAAACACAAAGAACGCGTTCGAACAACATGAATTCCACGCTTCCAAACGTATTGTTGAATTATACTTTGGAAAACATGATCTATGCTGTGCTTTACACGCTCAAAACTGATGCGGTGATAATCCCCATGAACGCTAATAATATGATCAGTTTCTGGCTCAATCGGTTCGTCGATAAGAAGTCATTGGGCTCGAACCCCAAAAAACTTCGCATAAAATTGGCATTCGAATGGCTTGCTCGTGAAGATTTGCGGCCATTTATCTTTCACAATTCTCTTCCACCAGACTTTTCCAGTTTATCCACCCCAAACAAGTCTAGAGCATTGCTAAATGCATTGCAAATGTCGCCAAAGGAAAAAGTCGACGACTTGATCGATAGCTTATTGTATGCATTGACTGCGAACGAAATTGTCACCAACCAGAAAAAACTAGCCCGCGCATTGGAACAGGACCAAGATATCGCTGCACTCGTGCACAATTTGAACCAAAATCATCTACGTCTAATCAGCCGCCTAGCAGCCGACGGTGACGTTACACTAGCTAAGATTTATGCAAACATGTGATTATGTACTGGAGATATCAAAAATGAGCGATGGATCTTTTTTAGCGTCCTTATCGTCTTCGTCCTCTTCTTCATCATCATCATCGTCGTCGTCATCGTCGTCATCGTCATCATCATCCTCATCATCCTCATCTTCGTCTTCCTCTTCGCCTTCTTCACCCTCTTTCTGTTTCTCATTAAAGTTGCTTATGGCGCCTATCCGCTGTCGCAACGTTTCCACGATATCCACCCATTCCCTCATTCCTCCCATTCCGATGTCACCACAAGCAAGCACCTTTTCCACCGGCTTGAGAATCTCGATTCCAAACCCATACTCTGCGGACGAAATCACTTGGAGTTGTTTGGCGGTGACAGGATGGGTGTACATAAAAGTATTCATAGCTGGGGCCACCAAAATGGGCTTCTTTGGTGTGGTTGAAGACGAATTCAAGGAGCCCCAAGAACGGACGATCGACGTCACCAAGTTATCGGCGATTCCATGGGTTATTTTGGCGAGAGTATTGGCAGACAATGGTGCAATTAACATGATATCGGCCCAGCGACGCAATTCATTGTGGAGAATCATTTTTTCAAACGGATTTTTGGTCTTTTTTGTTTGTGAAGAGGTGGTGGTGGTAGTGGTGGTCGCCACGTCGTAATTGGCCCATTCGTCTTCGTCTCGCCAAATCTTGACGTCATTACGAATCTTGAGGCCCTTGAGAAAATGGGTAGCAGCCTTGGTGACCACGAGCTGGATCGAGATCTTGGACTTGCCAAAGATCTGGAATAACCGGTCCAATATCAACGGCACTTTGATGGTAGCAACGGACCCGGTGCATGCGAGAAGAATGTGAATTTTTCCATCGTCTTCTTTCGACAAGTATTCTTGGAAAGGAACCGGCGGGCCAATGGGCGACGCCACGATGGTCTTGTTGGACTTTTTGACGGAGCCTTTGCGCGAGGGAATCTCGACGGAAGGAACTCTGGCTCCAGAGCCTCTTTCAATTCCATCCCTTTCCTTTTCGCTTTTCCCGTTAGGAGGCGACGGCGACTTGTCAAAATACTGGTGCTGGCGACCATGGCCCGGTGACACTGGCGACGCCACCCGAGAGTTTCCTCGAGAAGATTCGTTGCTGGAAGTGATATAGTCGTGGTTCAACTTCAACGGAGTGTTTCGAGGGTGCGAACCCTTGGCAATAAACAGCATAACATCATTGTCATTTATAGAATTGTTGCGAGAAGTTTTTTGGATTGAACCCTGCCTTTCCAAAGCAGGTATGGTTGCTATATTAGCAGAGGATGGCTGGGCGGATATGGTGAACCTCCTGGCACGGTCGGAGCCGTCGTCGCAGAAGGAAACCAGCGGAGTGATTCCGTCATTTGCCATGGTGATGAGTGATCTGAATTGTTGGCCTGTTTATGCAGGGACGATCTGGTGTGGGGGCCCGCGCCGCGTGCAGGCGCCTAGGTTCCACTATGTGCTGTAGGCAGTCTCGCACTGGCAGTCGCACTGGCAGCCTTCGCATTCGCGCTGTTCATTTACAGCTTTCCTGGCCTCTTAACATGAATCTCCGCCAGCAATTGACCCAGTTTCTCACCATGGCATTTGTCTTTTCCTCGTCGTTCATGGCGTGGAAAACCTTGTCTGTGGTGACCAATTCTCACTCGCCCGTGGTGGTGGTTTTATCTGGTTCGATGGAACCGGCTTTTCAACGTGGAGATATTCTTTTCTTATGGAATCGACAGCGTCAGAATAAAGTGGGCGATGTAGTGGTGTACGAAATCAAGGGTAAAGACATTCCTATAGTCCATAGGGTGTTGAGGGAACATCATAATCTGGAAAAACAGTACTTGTTGACTAAAGGTGATAACAATCTTGTTGATGATTTGGGGTTGTATGCCAAAAAACAAGGATATTTGAACCAGGCAACCGACTTGGTGGGCACAGTAAAGGCGTATTTGCCAAAGGTGGGGTACGTGACCATTTTGATCAGTGAAAACATGTATGCTCGGTACGCGCTTTTGGGGATAATGTGTATCAGTAGTTTATTGACTGGGGAGTAGGGAATGCAAGCAAAAACGAGACGAAGAACCTGTAGTAAAAAATGAAGCCAACAATCCACATAGTTTGTGTCTGTTCAGTGGTTTATTCTGCAAAAAAATGCCTTCAGCCAGATTCGAACTGACGATCTCCTCATTACTAGTGAGGTGCCTTACCAACTTGGCCATAAAGGCTGGATAATTCGACCTCGGAGAGGATTGAACTCTCGATCTTGCGATTAACAGTCGCACGCCTTAACCAGCTTGGCCACGAAGTCTTATTGTGGGTCAAGTTCGCACCGAGTGTATACATTGTGCTTTTCGCATTTAAGGTTTCAGTCGAAGTTTATAAACCTTGCCTTTTTTCTTCATTGCTATGCTTCAGGGTCAAAGAGCTCTTGTCACTGGAGGCTCCCAGGGGCTCGGTTTGGCTATAGCAAGAAAGTTGGCTCATTTGGGCTGCTCTGTCACACTTGTGGCTAGAAATGAATCCAAGTTAAAGGCGAACATTGCCGATTTTCCTTCTGATGCTCGCCATGATTATTTGGTCATGGATCTTCAACGTCCGAATTTCACTCAATTGGCAAGTAATTTACAATCCAAGACAATTTTGGTCAATTGCGCTGGGATCTCAAACCATTCTTTGCTTCCCAGACTCAGCGATGATCAAATTGCTGCTACAATTAACCTCAACTTGACAACTCCAATCATTCTTTCCAAATTATCGTACAAACATATGCTAAAAAACAACCAGGACTTTGTTCCTACAATTCTCAACATAGCATCGGTTCTCTCTTATACCAAAATTACCATGCCAGGAACCCTGGTGTATGCTGCTCTGAAAGCAGGACTTTTAGGATTCACTCAGTCGCTTGCTTCCGAGTTGAAAAATAAGGTGAGAGTCAATGCTCTTTTGCCAGGATTAATTGCGGAGACCGAGATGGGCGCTTCGGTGAAAATTCCCATAAAAAAAGTAGGACTTGATGAATGTGCTGAGCAAGCGGTAGCTATGATCATGGACCAAAAGCTTTCGGGAAGGTGCGTTGTATTTGACGCCAAGGGTAAGCGAGAGATCTGACCTCCGGAAAATTCGAAGAGGCGTTTGATTCTTTAGGTTTTTGAGTCAAAAAATGTACCCGTAGGTAGCGTCGAGCATAGGATCGTTTTCGTCGGTATAGAACCTGGAGAAGAGCTGGCGACTAAGGTCAATGTACTCGGATGTTCCCTGGTCATGGAGCCACATGACAAACTCGTTGAAACTTTCGTTTGGTTCTTTTGAGCTTTTTTGCATTTCAAAAAAACACTCGATGAACCCAGTGGTGTCTTCGTTATCGCCAATGTCAAGGTAAAAATGTTGGAAAATGCCTACTGTTGTAAGACAATGGTTGACTTTGTTGCGTAGTTTCGTATCCTTGGTATCAACTATCGGTGCTAGATACTTGGTAACGCTCGTTAGACATCGAAATAAAAATTGGTTTCCCGGAAGATGAGAATTGAAAACCACTTGGGTAGGATGTGATGGAAATGACAACCAAACTTTCATGACCTGGATAATGTGCTGGTATTGGTCCACGGCATTGGACTTGGAACGTACTTCCACTATCAAATTGCGTAGAATATTGCACAACGCCAAGTTGATGGAAGGGTGGAATGGGCATGCTGTGATGTGATTTAGCGCTTTTATCACCAATGAAGTGTTAGCATTGGGCACTCTCAGTGGTCGGGCTAGTGCCTCGATCATGAGACTATCGTAGTAGCCAACTTTAGACATC